TTTTTGGCATGCTCCTCTTCATCTTCAAATAGTTGGAATATGGAGAGGGAACATATGGAAGTCTGTGTGTGTATAGCATGTTAGTGTGTCTGTCCGTGTAAGTGCATATGTATGACCGTGTGTGTGTGTGCATGCATACGTGTCTGGTGTGTGTGTGTGTGTGTGTGTGTGTGTGTGTGTGTTTGAGTGCATCATTCCAACACACGTACGTGCCCTTTGATACTCTGGCCATCTATCCATAGTTGATCAACTCCCACTCTTGAGCGCCTCCTGGGCTAGTTATTGATTTCTCATTCTCTAGGCCATGACTCCATCTTGCCAGTCATGCAGATGGGATGCAATGCTTTCATGGAAATTAGCTCCCAAAACAAAAATTTAGGAAGAAACAGATCAGAGGTTAATCTATCTCTACACAACACAGCACACCATTTGCAGTAAATACCCATCTCCATGCCAGATTTACCAGCATAGGAATGGAGAGAGATGCAGAGAGGAAACTATTACTTCCAAGGGAATGTTTTTCAATTCGAAGTCTCATGATGAAAGGAAATAGAAATGTGCTGAATGGAAGGAGTGAAGAATGACTGGAGGAACCAGACCAGAGATGATAAGAATAGTGCTGATAATTATAGATGGAGTCTAGTATATTTATAACTGAGCACAATGACCTTCCAGATCCAGCAATTGTTTAGCAGAGTGTATCTCTGTTTCCTTCTTCTACTGCTGAGCTCCCATTGGCTTCTGTGCTGTAACTAAGCCTGACTGTCCAGCGACCGGTGAGACTGCCACCACTCAAAACCCCATCGCCCTGTCTACTGCTAACTGAGCCTCATCATAATGTGTGTGTGTGTGTGCGTGTGTGCGGTAGAAGTGGGTCTTTGAGTAAACCCAGGAGGGTTCATTACTGTGATCCATCCCTCTCTGATCCTACTGGTGCTTACGCTAAAACCGCATGACATCTGTGTGGCTATTTTTTGTGTTTTTATGTGTGCCTGTGTTGGTATAGGTGCGTGTTGTGTGTGTGTGTGTGTGTCTTCAGGGAAGGTATTTGTGTGTGAATGTGTGCATCCATGTTACTACATGTCAGAACATCCACAGCTTTCACAGTTTCTGCCAAATGTGCCATACCTGGGTTGGAGCAGGGACAACTTACTACTACTACTACATTTACATTTACATTTTAGTCATTTAGCAGACGCTCTTATCCAGAGCGACTTACAGGAGCAATTAGGGTTAAGTGCCTTGCTCAAGGGCACATTAACGTCATTTAGCAGACGCTCTTAGCCAGAGCGACTCACAAATTGGTGCGTTCACCCTATAGCCAGTGGGATAACCACTGGGGGGGGGGGGGGGGGGGGGGGGGGGGGGGGTTAGAAGGAATACTTTATCCTATCCCAGGTATTCCTTAAAGAGGTGGAGTTTCAAATGTCTCCGGAAGGTGGTGAGTGACTCCGCTGTCCTGGCGTCGTGAGGGAGCTTGTTCCACCATTGGGGTGCCAGAGCAGCGAACAGTTTTGACTGGGCTGAGCGGGAGCTATGCTTCCGCAGAGGAAGGGGAGCCAGCAGGCCAGAGGTGGATGAACGCAATGCCCTCGTTTGGGTGTAGGGACTGATCAGAGCCTGAAGGTACAGAGGTGCCGTTCCCCTCACTGCTCCATAGGCAAGCACCATGGTCTTGTAGCGGATGCGAGCTTCAACTGGAAGCCAGTGGAGTGTGCGGAGGAGGGGGGTGACGTGAGAGAGCTTGGGAAGGTTGAACACCAGACGGGCTGCGGCATTCTGGATGAGTTGTAGGGGTTTAATGGCACAGGCAGGGAGGCCAGCCAACAGCGAGTTGCAGTAGTACTACTACTACTACTATACATCAATCATATACTGTAACAAATCCCAGTCAAGAACCGTACCTCCAGCCACAAGCCCTTCATCCTTAAATCATTATGGGTTTGGTTGATTCTCTAATTGACTGGCCCTCTCCACTCTGCTCTCTTCTGTGGAGATTTAGGTGCAGTGGCATCTGCCCTAAATGCTTTGTCTGTCTGTCTGTCTGCATGTCTGTCCCACTCTCTCTGCTGTGTAAGTGGAACTGAGCTGAGAGAAGCTGAAGTATGTCCATCTGAATTCTTGACCTGATAACCATTCCAAAGACATGTTCACTGCTGTATGTGTTCTTCTCTAAGCGATGTTGTCGTAGAAGGCTGCTCTTAGTTTCATGTTCTTTTTTTCCAGTTGAAGATTTGCTGACAATAGGTCAGCTGTGATTGGAATACATATAAAATATCTGTCTCAGATGCTGAAAGTCAATCTATTTATCTCAATCGTACCTTTTCTTAACTCATTCTACACTCTCAGAAACAAAGGTACCGAATTGTACTTAAAGGGGTACAAGCGCTTATCACGCTTGCCCTGTAAGGTACGTCCATTGTACCATTTGTTATAGGTACACAATTGTACCCTTGCAGTTTGAGCCAAAAGGTACAAATGTGCCTTTTTAGGGTACCACCACATTGACAAAGCCGTTTGTTCCTTTTAAGTGGCATAAATGTACCTCTTCTCTATACCAAGTCCCTCATGTGTACACGCCTCCCCACCTTCCTACGTCTTCTTCCCAATTCAGGGGTAGCCCCGACCGGGACTCGACCCTGGACCCAAGCTAACACCTTAACCATTACGCCAAGGGGTCTTGAAAAGGTCGCTCAGTCTTGGGTTAAGGTCGATACAATATTAATTACAGCACTTTATTGTCATATGCTCTTATGTAAGCTTTTATAAAGACTTCAGAACTGGCAGCGCACATGCTCAAACTTGAACAAAAATAACAATAGACCACTTCAACTTAAACTGTTACAGAACTAACTGAAAGCCACACCCCGACTGAGCTACGCCTCCAATGATTGTACCTTTATATTCAAAATATTGGGTACAAAAATGTACCATTATACTAGATTATTTGCACATCCTAAAAGGTACCGAACTATACCATGTGAAATCATGTGTACCTCTGAAGGTACATTATATGTATTTTGATATTTTTGTACCCCAGGGAACAATACTGTACCCTAACTGTACCCTTTTTTCTGAGAGTGTACAGTACCTGAAGTTTAAATATAAAGTGGAGCTCTAACTTGCGTTAAGGAAGTATTTCTAAGTGATGTGAGGACACAGTCTAAATCACCAGTGACAGATGCTGTCCCTACAGTAACGACTTCTGACTGCTCTTCTGTCAATGAGTTTTGTCATCCCAGACCGAGACAGTGTTTCACGCTATCAAATTGCTGAACCTTTCCTATAATCTTGACTGTTATGATTACTAGGCTAAGCTCGCTGTATGGATAGTTTTTATTCCCCCAGGGGAGATTGTATAGCAGTGGGGATGCTCCACACTGGAATGGCTCCAACGACTGGCCAAGGAAACACATGACTCTTACTTTTAGAAAAATAAATAATGACTACAATTACCAAATATATTTACAGTATACAAAATCGTATTCCAGATTCTGTAACATCTCATTTTCCATCTCCTCCTCTTCTTCCGTTACCCTCATATGATTGTATGTCATGGAGCTTGTTGCTCATAATGTCTATATTTACATTTTGTGGAATATTTTGTCTTTGAATGTAATGTGTTTAATAAGTGTGTAATTGCAGTTGTCTTTTTTTTGCCATTTTGTGTTATGCGGAACGCATAATTTCTGTTGATTTATTGTAGCATAGCTTTTATTTGGATATAGCACTTTGTTTTTGTATTCGTGTGTTTTGGCTTAAATGTGGCTGTGTGTGTTTAGTGAGGTCTTTAATTGAAATGAGTGTTAGCGTGCAGTCTCCATGTGTGTTTGGCTCTGTTTTCACTCGGTTGGCTGTAGCTTAGTGGAGCAGAGCTCCGGTCCTCATGGGCTGTGGTGTCTACTGCCTGTCTTTGTCACGTTAGACACGGCTCCATATTGGAGCTGGAGCCACCATTTTCCTCTTATTAGTAACTGTCCTGTTTTGATGGTGTGTGTCATACCTGTGTGCTGTTGTAGTCCTGGTCCATTGGATATGCCGCATCAGGGGTATTCCAGTGTTTGTTTATTTTCATACTCATCTTAGGCTACTTGCCTTTGAGCGTGCATGAATTTCCTTCTAAAGCCACCCTTAATGTGGCTGCATATTGTATGTGGGACTGTGTGTTCATTATTGCTTGCACATGTTTTTTGGTTGTGCGTTTTTTCTTTGCCTAGGTGGATGGGTTACATTAGCAGACTTTGTGTCTCGTTATAGGGACTCTTCCAGGCTTATGAATGTGTATAAGTGTCTTTATTTGTGTTTGTGTTACATAATAGGTGGTCTTGTTCTAGGATTGTGTGTGTACTGTACACTGTATTTGGAAGCGTCTGCCTTTTACAACAACACAATTTGAGTACAAAAAGTATGCACTTTTATCCTTTAGATTTAGATGCACAAGGATGTATGTGTGTGTGTTTATTTATATTTCCATACAAGCTTCGTCGATATGTCCTCAGACTCACACTTGTGTCGGCCGGTATGGTGCATTTGTACTTTAAACTTGGGTTTATGGGTTTGTTAGTTCTTATGCATGTGTGTTTGTGTTTGTCAGTAAATCACATTACAGTAACAGGCTGGGTGTCTGTCTGTCTGTCTGCTGGGTGTATGTCTGTCTGTCTGTCTATCTGCTGGGTGTCTGTCTGACTGTCTGTCTGCTGGGTGTATGTCTGTCTGTCTGACTGTCTGCTGGGTGTCTGTCTGACTGTTTGTCAGCTGGGTGTCTGTCTGTCTGTCTGTCTGACTGTCTGACCGTGTGCATGTGTGTGCATGTCTATGTATATATTTGTGTGTGTGTGTCTGTCCGTGCCCATCATCTAGTGTGTTCAAGACTAATACAGTCTGTCATGCAGTCTGCATGTGTGCGTCTGCATACTGTATCTGTGTCACATTAACAGGCCTTGTCTTCGTGTTGATGTGTCTTCTAGGCTCATGTGGTTCAGCGCTGGCTTGGCCTTCAGGACAGTAGTGTGAGCTCTGAGAGGTCGACCGATCGAGGCCGGGGAATATGGCACTATGACGACAGAGTAAATATCATCTGATACCCATGCCGTGTACTTCAACACTTTCTCTCTATATGTCTCTATGGCAGCTCTATGTAGTGGTGGTTTATGTCGTTGCATCTTCTTGGGGATCTTCCTCTTGTGGCTTCTTGAGCTCTCTGTACGACTTCTGTGCTGTCGTCGTTGTGATGTGGCAAGTCAGTATAATTAGGTTTGGTGGTGTTTTGCAATACCGTGTATCTATTTTCACCACTTTCCTCTCTTTACCTACTTCTATGTAGTACTTGTTTGTCTTTGTGTGTTTGGTGGACAATATTTGTCACTGTGAGTGTGCAAGAGTAACATGGTGTCTTTATTGGTGCATATTTGTGCATTCTTCACTGTACGTGGCAACTCTGTTTGTATGTCTGTTTATGAACTGTTTATGAGTGTGTGCTGTCCTGTCTACCACTCTGTGTGTGTTTTTATGTCTGTCTATAATATGTATGAGTGTGTTTGAGTAAAAGTGAAGAATGTATCAATATCTGACATTGACTGGTCCTTTTAGGGTAAGATATCTTTATTTATTTTAAGAACCCCACTCACTGCAGTGTACACATCTTTCCATCCACTCACCTTGAATCACATAATATATTTCCTTCCGAATGGACGTAATCCATTAAATCCAGTAGAGGCCTGTGTATGCACACACCCTCTGGAAACAAATGTAGCTTTTAGAAGGAAAATAAATGGCCTTGGGAGGGCAGACAGATTTTATGTACTGCATGTGTATATTCTACACATGCACACACACAGCCTCACCCATACATATTACAGAGCACTGGGATAGCACGGTGTGCTCCTGTCCTCTATAGAGAGAAGCAAGCAGATAAACAGAGCCATATGATACAGTATTAGATTCCTCCTCAGGTATGAGATTAAAGGCTTTAATTTATTCTGTGTTAACACAGGGACGTGTCCTCTCTCTGATCTCTTCCACTGGCCGTGTCAATGGAGGAATGCTTGTGATACATGTATGTCACGCCATACTACAGCATACCCTGATTACACAGCATCACATCAATATGACACAAGAGGGACAGATACACACACTGATATGAGTAAAGGCAGGGAAGGAATGGGGAGAAGGAGGGAGGGAAGAGAGAGATGAACACGCACCAGACGGAGGGTGTGAGAGAATGAGACGGGTGCCGGCCATGCAAGGGAAGAAGAGGGGATCTGGAGAGGGAGAAAGAGAGAGATTGCAAGAAGGATAATGAGATAAAGAGAGAGAGGGCCGGGGGCACGTGAGTGAGGGGAAGGGGCCATGCTTGGCTTGAGGATCTGATTACTGGGTGAAATTGACGCACTGACTGCACATGACGGTTACTAATGAACAGACATGGCTGGGATGCATTGCTTTAAACTGACCACATATTACAGACAGAGAGAGAGGGAGGTCATGAGAAGCTTGTGCAGCGAGTCAGCAGAAGCTGACATAAAATGTGATTTCAAAGATGTTCTGCAGTCATTTCCATTTCTAGGAAGATATGAAAACATAGGATAGGACATACACACACACACACACAAGCACAATCACGAACGTTGATCGACCCCCTCTACCCCCCCTCTCAGACAATCACGTTAAGAAACACACATTGAAGATCATAGATGCACTTATCAATCCATTTCAGAGACTGATGGAGACTGGGGGGGAATCGGCGGCTGGAGACGTTATTCTCAGTATTCTGCTCATATATGGCCCACTATATCCAACGTGTCAACAAACAGCTGTGAAATCCTATAACAAAATGGCTGAAGGCCGCAGAATGAAAATAGGAGCATAAACATGCTGAACACTCCCTGACAAGTCGGCACGGGAACTCAGAGCTGCAGCATGAGGCTTCGCATGTGAAAACATCCTACAAGTAGTATAATATTGGTTTCTTACAGGGGAACATTGACTCCGTGGCATCAGTCTTCCAAATGTCCTCCGTCAACTCACAGAAAAGAGGGTGGGGTCTAAGATGAGAAGGCAACTGAGACAGACAAGGTGAAAAATAAATAGATCATATTACCTCTCAGGCTCCCCCTTAGTTACTGTAGGTCAGAATGAGATAATAGAAACATATTACAGGGATCCCTACAAAGGTGGAACTGGTTCTGTTCATGTGTATCAGATGTGAATCCAATATATATGTATACTTCCTGTTTGACATGAATCAGAGATATTTTTCAGCACTCGTGTGCGTCATGCAAAGATTTTGTATGAGGGAGAGAAATGACATCTCGGTAATAACAGCTTATCTAACACATTGCCTGAGACTGAATACAAATACACACACCGCATAGTGTTAGCATTAGGCTGGCGAGACCTCAGCCTGGATACATCAGCCATACATCACTGAGGAAGAGATGGAGAGAGGGAGTGGGAGAAAGGAGCAGCTTACACCCCTTCCCACTGCAGGAGATCAAATGAGAGAGGGAGAGACCCTGGGAGAAAGAGTGAGAGAAGGAGAGAGAGAGAAAGATGGAGGAAATGAGAGAGGAAGAAAAATATGGAGTTAAGACCAGAGAGAGAGAGAGAGGAGAGAGAGAGAGAGAGATGTGTATATATATAGAGATGTGTGTATATATAGAGAGAGGTGTATATATATAGAGAGAGGTGTAAATATAGAGAGAGGTGTGTATATATATAGAGAGAGGTGTATATATATATAGAGAGGTGTATATATATATAGAGAGAGGTGTATATATATAGAGAGAGGTATAGAGGGGGAGTAGTATAGAGGTAGAAAGAGAGAGAGAGGGGGGAGTGGTATAGAGGTAGAAAGAGAGAGATAGAGGGGGTAGGCAAAAGGTACATTTAGGCCCTTGGGGAATATTGATTGGAAAGAGAAGCAGAGAGCAGAGGAAAATATATTCTTTGTGGGAAGCAAATATAAGAGTTCTAGGCCTATCTGATCAAATCTGAGGGACATTAGTTTGTGAGAATACACCATACAAAAAGGAAATGGGAGAAGATAAATCCGCAGGTCTGTCGAGTCTAAATTGTACAAGACATCCCGTACTGTAAGAAAAAGGTCATACTGTATCAGTTTAATATAGCAATCTCACATGAGAATACACCTCCTACAGAATATGTATCATTGCATATGACTAGTGTGTGGGTGGAGGTGAGTAGGCATACTGTATGGAATCATTATAAAATCTGTCCTCAAGGCAGAGACTGCATGCTGGACTACAGTACTAGGCAGCCATGTTACAATCTCCCTTTCAGTCTGATCATGGTGGCAGAAGTGAACACTGCTTTCACAGAGACCTCAGAAGTCAGTCAGCATGCAGGGATGGAGCCAGTGTGTGCTCTGCTATGGATAGCTGCCAAACTCCTAGTGAGGGGGAGGCTCACCAGTTTGTACTGTCAGACATTTTTTGACTATCAGACAGTGGAATAGTGAGTAGTTTTGAAGAGTATGCTGATGTTGAAGAATGACAACCAGACTATAATAGACATTTCAGTGGGATCTATTCTAACTGAAAAAACCTCTCTCTCTCTCTCTCTCTCTCTCTCTCTCTCTCTCTCTCTCTCTCTCTCTCTCTCTGTCTCTGTCTCTGTCTCTGTCTCTCTCTCTCTCTGTCTGTCTGTCTGTCTGTCTGTCTGTGTCTCTATCTCTGTCTTTGTCTCTATCTCTGTCTGTGCTCTCCTTCCCTCCAGGCGGATGCTGTCACAAGTTTCCTCCGTGCGGCCCGTTCAGGGAACCTGGACAAAGCTCTTGACCACATCAAGAATGGAATAGACATCAACACATCTAATCAGGTATATCAGAGATTCCTCACACTGCCCAAGGTCACAGTCTGGTACACTGCCTCTGGACCAGAGAATTTGTGTCTCGTAAAACATTTATTACATCAGACTTTATTAAGATGTAATTAAAGATGTGGTTTTTATAGATTACATTATTTGACTTCGGCCAATCAGATCTATTAACAGTCAAGTCTAACCTATATAAACTGTAGTTTCAAGGATCAAATCAAATTGTATTTGTCACATGTGCCGAATACAACAGGTGAACAACCTTACCGTGAAATGCTTACTTACAAGCCCTTAACCAACAATGCAGTTCAAGAAACAGAGTTAAGAAAATATTTACTAAATAAACTAAAGTAAAAACTACAATTAAAAGTAACACAATAAAATAACAATAATGAGGCTATATAGAGGGGGTACCGGTACCGAGTCAATATGTGGGCGTACAGGTTAGTCGAGGTAATTTGTACATGTAGGTATGGGTAAAGTGACTATGCATAGACAATAAAAAGCAAATAGCAACAGTGTAAAAACAAAGTGGGGGGGTCAATGTAAACAGTCCGGGTGGCCATTTGATTAATTGTTCAGCAGTCTTATGGCTTGGGGGTAGAAGCTGTTAAGGAGCCTTTTGGACCTAGACTTGGCGCTCCGGTACCGCTTGCCGTGCGGTAGCAGAGAGAACAGTCTATGACTTGGGTGACTGGAGTTTTTGACAATTTTTTCAATTTCTTCCTCTGACACTGCCAAGTTTACATACACTTTAGCCAAATTCATTTAAACTCAGTTTTTCACAATTCCTGACATTTAATCCTAGTAAACACTCCCTGTCTTAGGTCAGTTAGGATAACCACTTTATTTTAACAATGTGAAATGTCAGAATAATAGTAGAGAGAGATTTATTTCAGCTTTTATTTCTTTCATCACATTCCCAGTGGGTCAGAAGTTTACAAACACTCAATTAGTATATGGTAGCATTGCCTTTAAATTGTTTAACTTGGGTCAAACGTTTCGGGTAGCCTTCCACAAGCTTCCCACATAAAGTTGGGCGAGTTTTGGCCCATTCCTCCTGACAGAGCTGTTGTAACTGAGTCAGGATTGCAGGCCTCCTTGCTCGCACACGCTTTTTCAGTTCTGCCCACACATTTTCTATAGGATTGAGGTCAGGGCTTTGTGATGGCCACTCCAATACCTTGACTTTGTTGTCCTTAAGCCATTTTGCCACAACTTGGCAAAATGTGTCCATTTGGAAGACACATTTGCGACCAAGCTTTAACTTCCTGACTGATGTCTTGATATGTTGCTTCAATATATCCACCTAATTTTCCTTCCTCATGATACCATCTATTTTGTGAAGTGCACCAGTCCCTCCTGCAGCAAAGCACCCCCACAGCATGATGCTGCCACTCCCGTGCTTCACGGTTGGGATGGTGTTCTTCGGCTTGCAAGCTGCCCCCTTTTTCCTCCAAACATAACGATGGTCATTAAGGCCAAACAGTTCTATTTTTGTTTCATCAGACCAGGGGACATTTCTCCAAAAAGTAAGATCTTTGTCCCCATGTGCAGTAGTCTGGCTTTTTTATGGCGGTTTTGGAGCAGTGGCTTCTTCCTTGCTGAGCGGCCTTTCAGGTTATGTCGATATAGGACTCGTTTTACTGTGGATATAGATACTTTTGTACCTGTTTCCTCCAGCATCTTCACAAGGTCCTTTGCTGTTGTTCTGGGATTGATTTGCACTTTTCGCACCAAAGTACGTTAATCTCTAGGAGACAGAACGCGTCTCCTTCCTGAGCCGTATGACGGCTGCGTGGTCCCATGGTGTTTATACTTGCATACTATTGTTTGTACAGATGAACGTGGTAGCTTCAGGCATTTGGAAATTTCTCCCAAGGATGAACCAGACTTGTGGAGGTCTACAATTTTTCTTTCTGAGGTCTTGGCTGATTTCTTTTGATTTTCCCATGATGTCAAGCAAAGAGAGTCTGAAGGTAGGCCTTGAAATACATCCACAGGTACACCTCAAATTGACTCAAATGATGTCAATTAGCCTATCAGAAGCTTCTAAAGCCATGACATCATTTTCTGGAATTTTCCAAGCTGTTTAAAGGCCCAGTCAACTTAGTGTATGTAAACTTCTGACCCACTGGAATTGTGATACAGTGAATATAAGTGAAATAATCTGTCTGCAAACAACCTGTCTGCCAAAACTATAGTTTGTTAACGAGAAATTTGTGGAGTGGTTGAAAAACGAGTTTTAATGACTCCAACCTAAGTGTATGTAAACTTCTGACTTCAACTGTAGGTTCTGGATGGCAGGAAGCTTGGCCCTAGTGATGTACTGGGCTGTACGCTCTACCCTCTGTTGCGCCTTTCCTGTAGTCCAGGATCAGCTCCTTTGTCTTGCTCACATTGAGGAAGAGGTTGTTGTCCTGGCACCACACTGCCAGGTCTCTGACCTTCTCCCTACAGGCTGTCTCATCGTTGTCGGTGATCAGGCCTACTACTGTCGTCAGTAAACTTAATGATGGTGTTGGAGTGGTGCTTGGCCCAAGCAGTCGTGGGTGAACAGGGAGTACAGGAGGGGACTAAGCACGCACCCCTGAGGGGCCCCAGTGTTGAGGATCAGCGTGGCAGATGTGTTGTTGCCTACCCTTACCACCTGGGGGCGGCCCGTCAGGAAGTCCAGTATCCATTTGCAGAGGGAGGTGTTTAGTCCCAGGGTCCTTAGCTTAGTGATGAGCTTTGTAGGCACTATGGTGTTCAACGCTGAGCTGTAGTCAGTGAACAGCATTCTCACATAGGTGTTCCTTTTGTCCAGGTGGGAAAGGGCAGTGGAGAGTGCGATTGAGATTGCGTCATCTGTGGATCTGTTGGGGTGGTATGCAAATTGGAGTGGGTCTAGGATTTCTGGGATGATGGTGTTGATGTGAGTCATGACCAGCCTTTCAAAGCATTTCATGTCTACCGACGTGAGTGCTACGGGGCGGTAGTAATTTAGGCAGGTTACCTTCGCTTTCTTGGGCACAGGGACTATGGTGGTCTGCTTGAAACATGTAGGTATTACAGACTCAGTCAGGGAGAGGTAGAAAATGTCAGGGAAGACACTTGCCAGTTGGTCCGCGCATGCTCTGAGTACACGTCCTGGTAATCCGTCTGGTCCCCACTGCCTTGTGAATGTTGACCTGTTTAAAGGTCTTGCTCACATCGGCTACGGAGAGCATGATCACACAGTCGTCTGGAACAGCTGGTGCTCTCATGCATGCTTCAGTGTTGCTTGCCTCGAAGCGAGCATAAATGGCATTCAGCTCGTCTGGTAGGCTCGCATCACTGGGCAGCTCGCGGCTGGGTTTCCCTTTGTAGTCCGTAATAGTTTGCAAGCCCTGCCACATCCGACAAGCGTCAGAGTCAGTGTAGTAGGATTCAATCTTAGTCCTGTATTAACGCTTTGCCTATTTGATGGTTCGTCTGAGGGCATAGCGGGATTTCTTATAAGCGTCCATATTAGTGTCCCGCTCCTTGAAAGCGGCAGCTCTAGCCAGTTAGCTCGGTGCGGATGTTGCCTCTAATCCATGGCTTCTGGTTGGGATATGGATGCATAACAATGTTCCCACATTGCCCCCTGTGTTCCTGTGTCCTGCCACTCTAGCTGTGTTTACTGCGCACTAATGCCAGTCATTCACAACCTTAATGAGAAAATGTTCATAATTAGCAATACTGCCAGACCCTCTCTCTTTTCCTCCCTGCTACTCTCCTATCCTTCCCTTTATCTGTTACATTGCACCTTGTTGCATCATGACAGAAGCACAAAGCTTAAAGGTGCGTTATGCAGAAATCGCTTTGCCATTTCCTGGTTGCTAAAATTCTAATAGTTTGCCTAATTTCAGTTTATGTGACAATAGTATAGAGAATCATTGTACCATCTAAACCGCTGTGAAATATATTTTCCTTAACCAAAACAAATGCATTTTCAGCTGTTTGAAGCTGGTGTACAAAATTGAAAGTAAAAGATGCAAAAATGAAACTTAAGAACGGAAAGCATAGAAATAGTGCACATAGAACAGATCTACCGCTTCCTAGACTTGCTTTCAATGAGAATGACAGATCTTTAACTCACATTTCTATGTACATTTGGTCAGGTCGCCCAAAAAGTTACATATTGCAGCTTTAAATATCATCAAATTCACATGTAAATATTAGCTGAGGTGCATCTATTTTTGGTTTCTGAATTATCTCAAGTGGCAAGTTTTGTAACACATACGGAACGTATCAACATGTATACCAGCCTATTTATGAGTGGAAGCTCAAGTGGAAGGGACTCTGTTGTGTATTTTTCATCAGTAGTTTAGTTAATGGAAGGTAGTTCAGTTTGTACACAAGCACTGGCAGGAAGCCCATGCTCTGGACAGCTTGGGGAATGCACACCCACTCTGTAAACCTACAATCTGCTACTGCAACCCCTCAGCACCATTCACAGAAACAACCATGGCACCAAGCTGTCAATATTGTGAAACTAATACCACTATCTCTACACCAGATAATACTGCCACTATAATAATGTCACTACTGGCTAAGGATCAGAGGTAGAGCTGTGATACAAATGAGGATGTATGCTTTAGTGTGCCTTCAATGCACATGCTGCACGTGTGGATATGTGGGTATGTGACGTTGTAAAACATATACATTTTATATATGTTTTCTATATGTGTTCAAATTAGGATTGGGGTCGAAGTAGAGCATATATCTATGATCATTGTTGGAGCTACTGCTGCTGTTCTAGAAAATACTATGAGTCAGGGTTTTAAATGTGAAGTCAGTCTGTCAACCTGCCCCTGCCCGATCTCCTGCCAGCTCACACATACAGTACACGCGTGTGTCTCCCCCGTGTGTGTGTGTGTGTGCATGTGTGTCTCCCCTCAGTGTGTGCATGCACTGCAGATGCAGCACATTATCCATGTGAATTGGGTGACACTGCAGTACGAGGGCGGGGGAGGGACCAGTGCGGTTTACAGAGTCTCCCTGTGGCCAGTCACGGTACTGCAGGCTGGCAGAGCAGAGACAGGCACTGACTGTACTCTTAGTCTGTCTGATTCTGCAGCTGTACGCCCTGACAGCCTGAGACAAATCCAGGCTGTCTGCTTCCTTTGAGACCCGACTAAAATAGACTTAAGGTTGTTTATCTTCAGAAATCTTTTTGTTCTGCTTCGTAGCCACTGTGGGTTTTGAGTTTCTCTGCTTGTTATTTTTGTCTACTGTTTAGGAATCCATGTGATGGATGGAATAAAAGGCAAACAGATTATATTGGGGCTCGTTCTGTCGGCTGATGATTTTGTCTGATGGTTCTGTGTGGTCACTGCTGATTTCCATTGCTGTCTCTGTAGAATGGGCTCAACGGTTTGCATCTGGCCTCTAAAGAAGGCCACGTCAAGATGGTGCTGGAGCTACTACACGCAGGCATTGTCCTGGAGACCACCACTAAGGTACTACTCACACACTACTCACTGCTTACCATGACTATACTCACATACCACAGATGCATAAGACCTACCTCTGCCTTATGATTGAGATATTCACCAGCTATAACAGACTGTTTACAGACTGAAGCCCCTATATACAGTGCCTTCAGAAAGTATTCACACCCCTTGACCTTTTCCACATGTTGTTGTGTTACAGCCAGAATTTTAAATGGTTTACATTGAGATTGTTTTACTGGCCTACACACAATGCCCCATAATGTCAAAGTGGAATTATGTTAACTTTTTTCTTTTACAAATTCATTAAAAATGAAAAGCTGAAATGTCTTGAGTCAATAAGTATTCAACCCCTTTGATATGGCAAGCCTAAATAAGTTCAGGAGTAAAAATGTGCTTAGCAAGTCACATAATAAGTTGCAAGGACTCACTCTGTGTGCAGTAATAGTGTTTAACATGATTTTTGAATGACTACCTCAACTCTGTACCCCACACACAATTATCTGTACGGTCCCTGAGTCGAGTAGTGAATTTCAAACACAGATTCAACCACAATGTCTGCTTTAAAAAAGCAGACATTGAATATCCCTTTGCGCATGGTGAAGTTATTAATTACACTTTGGATGGTGTATCAATACACCCAGTCACTACAAAGATACAGGCATCCTTCCTAACTCAATTGCCGGAGAGGAAGGAAACCGGTCAGGGATTTCACCATGAGGCCAATGGTGACTTTTAAACAGTTACAGAGTTTATTGGGCGTGATAGGAGAAAACTGAGGATGGATCAACAACTTTGTAGTTACTCCACAATACTAACTGATTTGACAGAGTGAAAAGAAGTAAGCCTGTACAGAATAAAAATATTCCAACACATTACTGACTACCACACTCCACATTTTCAAGCATAGTGGTGGCTGCATCATGTTATGGGTATTGCTTGTAATCGTTAAGGACTGGGGATTTTTTCAGGATAAAAGATAAACAGAATGGAGCTAAGCACAGGCAAAATCCTAGAGGAAAACCTGGTTCAGTCTGCTTTCCACCAGACACTGGGAGATGAATTCACCTTTCAGCAGGACAATAACCTAAAACTCAAGGCCAAGAGTTGCTTACCAAGAAGAAAGTGAATGTTCCAGAGTGGCCAAGTTACAGTTTTGACTTAAATCTGCTTGAAAAACTATGGCAAAACCTGAAAATGGTTGTCTAGCAATGATCAACAACCAACTTGACAGAGCTTGTAGAATTTTTTTAAGAATAATGGACAAATGTTGCACAATCCAGGTTTGGAAAGCTCTTAGAGACTTATCCAGAAAGACTCACAGCTGTAATCGCTGCCAAAGGTGATTCTAACATGTATTGAATCAGGGGGTTGAATGCTTATCTAGTCAAGATATATTAGTGTTTTATTTTTCATGAATGTTTTACAAATGTTAGCATCTTTCTTCCACTTTGATCTTACAGAGTATTTTGTGTAGATCGTTGACAAAAAAATGATCAATTCAATCAATCTTAATCCCACTTTGTAACAACAAAATGTGGAAAAAGTCATGGGGTGTGAATACTTTCTGAAGGCACTGTATATTATAAGCTTATTCACTTATTCACCTAATTTGATAGGCCTATAAACGTATGTATCTAATTTAATCTATCCAATATCAACCTATTAAGTCATAGATCAGTCCCTCCAGGATTCCGCGATTCTGCGATCACAACGATTTTAGCAAAATCAACAATTCTCTGCATATTATGCAAGGGCTTGCAAATTTGACCAATCACTGCACTATTTCCACATAAAACAGTCAAATCATTGCAATATTATTGCATAAAACTGATCCATCACCACAGTACAAAAAGAGGACTCGCAATTTCAACTAATCACATTTATCGCATATGTTTGAATCAATCCACGCGTCAACAAACTTCTTCCCTCGTCAGCACATTTTCGCGACAAATTGGACAAAAACATTGCATATTGCCATGCAAAATGTCAGAATTGCCGCAGCAAAATCAAGCCTTTTGCCGCAAATATCACAAAAAATCCCCACGAAATCCTGAAGGGACTGATAAGTCATAACTAATTATTTCTGAGCACTGTATCATTATCAAAGCTTTTTAAATAGAGATTTGGGTCATAAGGCTGAACTCAGACTGCTCTCTGCTCCCTCTCTCTCTGTCTGTGTCTGTGTGTGTGTGTCACCTCCAGAAAGGGAACACTGCCCTTCATATCGCTGCGTTGGCAGGCCAGGAGAAAGTGGTGGCTGAGCTCGTCAACTATGGAGCCAACGTCAATTCCCAGTCCCAGGTGAGTCATCAGTGACATTATACTGCTCCTTACTGTTATCTGGGGGGGGGGGGGGTGTATGTGGGTCCGGGGTGAGTGTACTGTGTGCGTCTCTCTGTGGGTGGGTGTGTCTCTTTGTGTGTGTATGTGTGTGTGTGTGCACGTGTGTGTTGGTTTATATGTGTGTGCGTGTGTATGTGCTTGTGTGTTGCTGGTAACTAGGGCTGTTACGGTGACCATATTACCGCCACACCGGCGGTCACGAGTCATGACCACAGCAAATTCCATGTAACCGTTTAGTCATGGTAATCAGGCTTCTCCAAGCTCTGATGCTGCTGATGGTCATTAGTAGCCTACCAAACTTGCTAACTGCCTGGTACTCAGCACTCGATTGTCTCTCTAATCACTCTGACATCAATGTAAATGTAATCGAAAATCAAATCAAACACTTCATGAGAGCACATGAACTCTTGTTGCACAACGTTTCTATAGGCTATGCAATTGCGTGAGAAAACAGAGTTTTGATGGCCTCTATTAAAAAGAGCAGGATCCCATCAGCTTTCTATAGGCTAGGCCTACTATATTTATTTCTCAACTTTCCGAATATTAAGCACATTGCTTCGATTTACAACAGGAATATAGCCTACCTGGCTGGCATGAAAATGAACCTTGGGAAAAGCGTCCTCCATTCGCTATTTAAGTGCATAGATGACATGTTACGAGACAGGTGCATGATAATGGTCAATTATAAATCAAAACTAATTTCACACATACAATACCAGTCAAAAGTTTGGACACACCTACTCATTCAAGGGTATTTCTTTATTTTTACAATTTCTACATTGTAGAATAACAGTGAAGACATCAAAACTATGAAATAACACATATAAAATCATGTAGTAACCAAAGAAGTGTTAAACAAATCAAAATATATTTTATATTTGAGATTCTTCAAAGTAGCCACCCTTTGCCTTGATGACAGCTTTGCACACTCTTGGCATTCTCTCAACCAGCTTCATAAGGTAGTCACCTGGAATGCATTTCAATTAACAGGTGTGCACTACTAAAGGACACCAATAAGAAGAAGAGACTTGCTTGGGCCAAGAAATACGAGCAATGGACATTAGACCGGTGGAAATCTGTCCTTTGGTCTGATGAGTCCAAATTTGAGATTTTTGGTTCCAATCGCCGTGTCTTTGTGAGACGCAGAGTAGGTGAACGGATGATCTCCACATGTGTGTTCCCACCGTGAAGCATGGAGGAGATGGTGTGATGGTGTGGGGGTGCTTTGCTGGTGACACTGTCAGTGATTTATTTAGAATTCAAGGCACACTTAGACAGAATGGCTACCACACCATCCCATCTGGTTTGCGCTTTGTGGGACTATCATTTGTTTTTCAACAGGAATGTGACCCAAAACACACCTCCAGGCTGTGTAAGGGCTTTTTGACCAAGGAGAGTGATGGACTGCTGCATCAGATGAACTGGCCTCCACAGTCACTATACCTCAACCCAACTGAGATGGTTTGGGATGAGTTGGACCGCAGAGTGAAGGAAAGGCAGCCAACAAGTGTTCAGCATATGTGGGAACTCCTTCAAAACTGTTGGAAAAGCATTCCTCATGAAGCTGGTTGAGAGAATGCCAAGAGTATGCAAAGCTGTCATCAAGGCAAAGGGTGGCTACTTTGAAGAATCTGAAATATATTTTGATTTGTTTAACACTTTTTTGGTTACTACATGATCCCATATGTGTTATTTCATAGTTTTGATGTCTTCACTATTATTCTACAATGTAGAAAATAGCAAATATAAAGAAAAACCCTTGAATGAGTAGGTGTGTCCAAACTTTTGACTGGTACTCTATATTATTTACTATATGTAAATACAAGATTAAATTAAGAATAGTCTGATGGGTGACAATATTAGCCTATCACTTGTGAATTATGTATTATCATTTGTGAATGATGCCCAGCGTGTGCAGTAAGAAAATAAACAATGCATGCATATTTTTTTCAACTTTTTCAAATCTTCTAACATCTTCAATATGCGCCTCAGAATTCACTAAGAGGGACGCGGGCAGTTGCGTCCCCGATGTGTCTGTCTTCACTTGTAGCCTACTTCGGAGCTGAGATGCCTGTGAGAAGAACCCAATCACATGACGGGCATTGGCTAATACCAATTGAGATATCTGAGAGAGCCATGTGAGTGAGAGGTGCTAAGAAGCACGGCGATTGGCAGCCGCTGGCCGCAAAAGGAATGGATTTTGTAGGGGGCATTACGGCCACACAAGGGGGATGCCACCTTGAAATTTGAGGCATCATGCAGCCAGCCTTAGAATGTATTACAAACAAAAACATATAGCCCAAACTAAAGTTGCATAAATAATTCTAAATTAAGCATATAGTAGGACCTGTTTCTTTGTTAACCACTCAACACAGAATAGCAGCATGTGCACACTCCCTGGAAATCGTTTGTAGAAAATATCCGTTATACTTTATTCAGCTATGTTCAAGTGTATTCTTCATACTATAAAATAATATAAAATAATGCCACGGAATTCTAAGCTTATCTTGTCTGCTAAATGAACTAGTGTAGCCCACAGCCATATGGCGTAGCCAGATCAAATCAAATCAAATTGTATTTGCTACATGCGCCGAATACAACAGGTGTAGACCTTACAGTGAAATGCTTACTTACAAGCCCTTAACCAGCAATGCAGTTTTAAGAAAAATAAGTGTTAAGTAAAAAATAGATAAGTAAAAAAAATATATAAAAAATATAAAAAAATTATATATATATATATATATATATATATATATATATATATATATTAAAGAGCAGCAGTAAAATAAAGGTAATATGTAGAGTTAAAGTGACTATGCATAAATAATAAACAGAGAGAAGCAGCAGCGTAAAAGAGGGGGTGGGGTGGGATGGGGGGACACCTCAAATAGTCTGGGTAGCCATGATTAGCTGTTCAGGAGTCTTATGGCTTGAGGGTAGAAGCTGTTAAGAAGCCTTTTGGACCTAGACTTGGCGCTCCGGTACCCCTTGCTGTGCGGTAGCAGAGAGAACAGTCTATGACTAAGGTGGCTGGAGTCTTTGACCATTTTCTGGGCCTTCCTCTGACACCGCCTGGTATAGAGGTCCTGGATGGCAGGAAGCTTGGCCCCAGTGATGTACTGGGCCGTACGCACTACCCTCTGTAGTGTCTTGCGGTCGGAGGCTGAGCAGTTGCCATACCAGGCAGGATGCTCTCGATGGTGCAGCTGTATAACGTTTTGAGGATCTGAGGACCCATGCCAAATCTTTTCAGTCTCCTGAGGGGGAATAGGTGTTGTCGTGCCCTCTTCACGACTGTCTTGGTGTGTTTGGACCATGATAGTTTGTTGGTGATGTGGACACCAGGGAACTTGAAGCTCTCAACCTGTTCCATTACAGCCCCATCGATGAGAATCAGGGCCTAACATAAGGACAACTCAGAATATGCTATTCTATTCTTCTGAAATAGACTACAGTTTCTTTATATCATGTTTCTTTAGACCTGTCTAAAATAAATAATGGATTTATTGTGATGGTTTAGGCTATATGAAATGTAGATGTTCCAAAGGTCTGGATCAGTGGCTTTTAGGCTATGCGTGGAAGCAAGGAGATGCTAAACGTGTTTATGTTAATTAACGGTCAGTTACTGTGAGACCGGCAGTTTTTTTCTTGACAATCACCGGCTGACAAAATGTCATGACCGCCACAGCCCTACTGGTAACCATGCATCATGTGCCTCTTCCTTACAGAAAGGCTTCAGTCCCCTCTACATGGCAGCACAAGAGAACCATTTAGAGGTAGTGAAGTTCCTGTTAGAGAATGGAGCAAATCAGAGCCTTCCAACAGAGGTGAGTAAAGGCCTACAGAGTCATTCTTCTCAGATGTGTATTGGCTTTAGTCCACTAGACAATCTCTCCTCTTTCCATTACAGTAATCTTAATTTATAATGTATCACATTTTCCTTTCCTCTTGTCCTCCGCCCCATCTTCATTTTCTTTCGCTCTCTCTTCCTCTCCTTCTACTTACCCTTCTCAACCCTTCCATTATCACTTGGCTTGTCTCCCCTTTCCTCCCTCCCCTCCCTCCCCTCCCTCTTTTCCTCCCACCCCCTTGCACCCTATGTTGACCTTCCTTACCTCCTTCTCCCTCCTTTCCTCCTCTTTCTCCCTTCTTACCTTACTGCCTCGCTACCTCTCCCTCTGTCCTTCCCTCTCCTCCTTTCTCCCTTTTGACCTTACTCCCTGGCCACCCCTCCCTCTATCCAACCTTCTCCCTCCCTCTCTCTTCCCCTGTCTGTCAGGATGGGTTCACGCCGCTGGCGGTGGCTCTCCAGCAGGGTCATGAGAACATGGTGGCCCTGCTCATCAACTATGGCACCAAGGGCAAGGTCCGTCTTCCTGCCCTACACATCGCTGCACGCAACGACGACACACGCACTGCCGCAGTGCTGCTGCAGAATGACCCTAACCCCGACGTCCTCAGCAAGGTACTACTCACTGTGTGTGTGTGCGGGTGTGACTGATGACTTGTTAAGCCTTAATATGCTGATGTCATTAGCTGATGTCATCAGTCAAAACACTGTTGTGTTGAATTGCAGATAAACAATAGCAACAAAGGTGATTATCTGCATTGCTTGCTGTTTGGGGTTTTAGGCTGGGTTTCTGTATAGCACTTTGTGACATCTGCTGATGTAAAAAGGGCTTTATGAAGACATTTGATTGATTGATTAACAAAAAAGCTGCCTGCAAACATGGATGATAATAATCTCTCTCTCTCTCTCTCTCTCTCAATTCAATTCAATTTCAATTTAAGGGCTTTATTGGCATGGGAAACGTATGTTAACATTGCCAAAGCAAGTGAAGTAGATAGTAAACAAAAGTGAAATAAACAATAAATATTAACAGTAAACATTACACTCAGAAGTTCCAAAAGAATAGACATTTCAAATGTCATATTATGTATATATACAGTGTTGTAACAATGTGCAAATAGTTAAAGTACAAATGGGAAAATAAATAAACATAAATATGGGTTGTATTTACAATGGTGTTTGTTCTTCACTGGTTGCCCTTTTCTTGTGGCAACAGGTCACAAATATTGCAGCTGTGATGGCACACTGTGGTTTTTCACCCAGTAGATAAGGGAGTTTATCAAAATTGGGTTTGTTTTCGAATTCTTTGTGGATCGCTGTAATCTGAGGGAAATGTGTGTCTAATATGGTCATACATTTGGCAGGAGGTTAGGAAGTGCAGCTCAGTTTCCACCTCATTTTGTGGGCAGTGTGCACATAGCCTGTCTTCTCTTGAGAGCCAGGTCTGCCTACGGCGGCCTTTCTCAATAGCAAGGCTATGCTCACTGAGTCTGTACATAGTCAAAGCTTTCCTTAAGTTTGGGTCAGTCACAGTGGTCAGTTATTCTGCCACTGTGTACTCTCTGTTTAGGGCAAAATAGCATTCTAGTTTGCTCAGTTTTTTTGTTTGTTCTTTCCAATGTGTCAAGTAATTCTCTTTTTGTTTTCTCATGATTTGGTTGAGTCTAATTGTGTTGTTGTTGTCCTGGGGCTCTGTTTGTGAACAGAGCCCCAGGACCAGCTTACTTAGGGGACTCTCTCTCTCTCTCTCTCTCTCTCTCTCTCTCTCTCTCTCTCTCTCTCTCTCTCTCTCTCTCTCTCTCTCTCTCTCTCTCTCTCTCTCTCTCTCTCTCTCTCTCTCTCTCTCTCTCTCTCTCTAGACTGGCTTCACTCCTCTCCACATCGCAGCTCACTATGAGAACCTGAGTGTGGCCCAACTGCTAATAAACAGAGGCGCCAATGTCAACTATACTCCCAAGGTCAGTCCATTAACCCTCACCTCTACTGTAGCTACTGTATCAGCCTTAATCATGACATAGATATCATAGTCCCTCAAAGACCGCATTTCCTAACAGAAGAGTCTTTGATTCAATTGATTTAGAAATTGTTCTCCCCCTCTCAGAATGGTATCACCCCCCTGCACATAGCCTCCAGGAGGGGTAATGCGATCATGGTTCGGCTTTTGCTGGACAGAGGGGCCCAGATAGACGCCATGACCAAGGTACTGTAACCCCACACTTTCTCCTCTTCCTCCTCCTCATCCTCCCCTTTCTGCCATTTGACTTGAAAACTGTTTAACCCTACCTGGCTTCTTCACTCTCTTTAGGATGAGCTGACCCCTTTGCACTGTGCGGCCAGGAACGGTCACGTGAGGATCATCGATCTCCTGCTGGACCAGGGGGCTCCCATCCAGGCCAAGACCAAGGTCAGCCACAGGCCTCTCGGGGTCCACTATGGGGAAAATAAAGGGCCCTACTTTATGATCACCTTGACGCAATATCACACCATTAACATCACTATTAAAGCATTTTCAGCAGTAACCAATGATTCTCTGCAAACAACACTGACCCGTGACTTATTTCAGTATTATTAATGTATCTATTTTTTTCCCTCTCAAATGTCTTACACTGCTCTTCTCTCTGTTTCTCTTTCATTCCCTCTATCTTTCTCTTCTATCTCCCTATCCTCCCTGTCTCCCCTCCAGAATGGCCTGTCCCCCATCCACATGGCGGCCCAGGGAGACCACATGGACTGTGTGAGGCAGCTCCTCCAGTACAACGCTGAGATCGATGACATCACGCTGGACCACCTGACCCCTCTACACGTGGCGGCCCACTGTGGTCACCACCGCATGGCCAAAGTGCTGCTGGACAAGGGGGCCAAGGCCAACGCACGTGCACTGGTCAGCAGCTCTTAAGTGTCCTTCTAATTCTCTATACTGGTGCTTAGGGTGAGGTGTACTGTAGCTGTCAATTGGTCAGGTATACTGAGCTTTTATAAGTGGGTCACGTTCAGTAGGCACAAACAGTAGAAAACATTATGAAGTATGAATGAGGGTTGTTATTGGACAAGTTCAGGCAGGACCTTCTCCATATCTAAATGCTTTCTCCCATTTTGTGCATACCTATCATAACCCTATGCTGAATTAGCAAAATGTTGTGACTTTGTTCAGAATGGGTTCACTCCCCTCCACATTGCCTGTAAGAAGAACCACATGCGCTCCATGGACCTGCTTCTGAAACACTCTGCCTCCCTGGAGGCCGTCACAGAGGTGAGATAACACTATTTTGAAGAGCAATGGGTTTGCAGGATATGGTGTACTACTGTTTGTAATTGTTGCAATCGTTTAGTGCCAATTGTGCCATTACAAAAGGTCTGAAAGTGAGAATGTAGGCCTGATGGAGATGGATTTATATAATACCTTAACCCTTCTCTCTCTTCATATGCCCCCACCCCCCCTCCCCTTACATAGTCTGGTCTGACTCCCCTGCATGTAGCAGCCTTCATGGGCCACCTGAACATTGTGAAGAACCTGCTCCACAGAGGAGCTTCTCCCAACGCCTCCAACGTGGTGAGAGGCAGCCCCTTTATAACCTTTATTACTGACACGGGAGAAATATCCATCGCTCTCTGATGGACTCGTAGTAACTTATCTTATTCCTATGTTGAAATGAACACCAGCAAAGGTTATGATAGATGGATTGGTATCTGGTCCATGCATTGGTAAGGATTGGATGACTAAAGCCTGTTCTCTGTGTGTATAATGTGATATTTTAGTTGATGTGTGTTATTGATATTGCATAGCATAGTCATGTGTTTAATGTCAGAGTAGTTGTGACAGGCTATGTGACCTCTGACCTGTGTTTGTGTGACAGAAAGTGGAGACGCCCCTCCACATGGCATCCAGGGCGGGCCACTGTGAGGTGGCTCTGTTCCTGCTGCAGAACACAGCCCAGGTGGACGCCAAGGCTAAGGTACTGTACACACTGTCATGCAGCCATACACATCTATGAGCATTCATAATGTTTTGCTACAAACTCTGACCTGGTTGGAATACACTGTCACGATCGTTGAGAGACGGGTCGGACCAAGGTGCAGCGTGAAAAGCGTACATGTTTATTACCTCAATAAACATACAACAAAACAAGAAACAACGTAACATGAAGACCAAAGGGCTATACACATACAAGCCTAACAGGAACACAAACAAGATCCCACAACCCAGGCAGGAAAACTGGCTGCCTAAGTATGATCCCCAATCAGAGACAACGAGTGACAGCTGCCTCTGATTGGGAACCACACCCGGCCAAACATAGAAATACAAAACCTAGAGTTTAACTACCTAGAGAATAACAGTCTCTCCAGGTCAGGGCGTGACATACACATTCAAAACCACCAACACATGGCACATATCAGGGGCACAACTATGGTTTTAGAAGTGGGGGGGACAAAATAATATAATAATATATTTTTAACAATTATCCATTCGGATAAACACTCCAAACAGCCTACCCGACAGCTCGGAGGCGTCCGCATGGTCTTAGAGCACACCGTTGCCTCGTTTTGTATCACATTCCAATGATAGAACTGGGGGGGACAGAAATGCTGAATGTGAAAGTTGCGCCCCTGGCACATATACAGAGTACCAGTCAAATGTTTGGAGACACCTACTCATTCCAGGGTTTTTCTTTATTTTTACTATTTTCTACATTGTAGAATAATAGTGAAGACATCCAAACTATGAAATAACACATATGGAATCATGTAGTAAACAAATAAGTGTTAAACAAATCAAAATATATTTTAGATTTTAGATTCTTCAAAGTAAGCCACCCTTTGCCTTGATGATAGCTTTGCACACTCTTGGCATTCTCTCAACCAGCTTCATGAGGTAGTCACCTGGAATGCATTTCAATTAACAGGTGTGTCTTGTTAAAAGTTAATTTGTGGAATGTATTTCCTTCTTAATGCATTTGAGCCAATCAGTTGTGTTTGACAAGGTAGGGGTGGTATACAGAAGATAGCCCTATTTGGTAAAAGACCAAGTCCATATTATAGCAAGAACAGCTCAAATAAGCAAAGCGAAACGACAGTCCATCATTACTTTAAGACATGAAGGTCAGTCAATACGGAAGATTTCAAGAACTTTGAAAGATTCTTCAAGCGCAGTCGCAAAAACCATCAAGCGCTATGATGAAACTGGCTCTCATGAGGACCTTCACAGGAAAGTTAGACCCAGAGTTACCTCTGCTGCAGAGGATAAGTTCATTAGAGTTACCAGCCTCAGAAATTGCAGCCCAAATAAATGCTTCACAGAGTTCATGTAACAGACACATCTCAACATCAACTTTCAGAGGAGACTGTGTGAATCAGGCCTTCATGGTCGAATTACTGCAAAGAAACCACTACTACAGGACACCAATAAGAAGATACTTGTTGGGGCAAAAAACACGACTAATGGACATTAGACCGGTGGAAATCTGTTCTTTGGTCTGATGAATCCAAATTTGAGATTTTTGGTTCCAATGAGATGCAGAGTAGGTGAACGGATGATCTCTTTATGGTGTGGTTCCCACCGTGAAACATGGAGGAGGAGATGTGATGGTGTGGGGGTGCTTTGCTGGTGACACGGTCTGTGATTTATTTAGAATTCAAGGCACACTTAACCAGCATGGCTACCTCAGCATTCTGCAGAGATACGCCATCCTATCTGGTTTGGGCTTAGTGGGACTATCATTTGTTTTTCAACAGGACAATGACCCAACACACCTCCAGGCTGTGTAAGGGCTATTTGACCAAGAAGGAGAGTGATGTAGTGCTGCATCAGATGACCTGGCCTCCACAATCACCCAACCTCAACCCAATTGAGATGGTTTGGGATGAGTTGGACCGCAGAGTGAAGGAAAAGCAGCCAACAAGTGCTCAGCATATGTGGGAACTCCTTCAAGACTGTTGGAACAGAATTCCAGGTGAAGCTGGTTGAGGGAATGCCAAGAGTGTGCAAAGCTGTCATCAAGGCCAAGGGTGACTACTTTGAAGAATCTAAAATCAAAAATATATTTGGATTTGTTTAACACTTTTTTGGTTACTTCATGATTCCATATGTGTTATTTCATAGTTTTGATGTCTTCACTATTATGTAGAAAATAGTAAAAATAAAGAAAAACCCTTGAATGAGTAGGTGTCCAAACTTTTGACTGGTACTGTATATATTTTATTTTATTCAGTTACTATCTTTACAACAGCATACATTGCACAAATACCTTAATGTTACTGCTAGCTAAATACAATTGCTTACACGTATATCATTCCAACCTCTGTTTCTCCTCACTCTCTCTCTCCATCTCTCTCTCTCTCTCTCTAGGATGACCAGACCCCTCTGCACTGTGCGGCCCGGATGGGACATAAGGAGCTGGTCAAGCTGCTCCTGGAGCACAAGGCCAATCCTGATTCGGCTACCACCGCTGGCCACACCCCCTTACACATCGCCGCCCGTGAGGGACACGCCCACACCACCCGCATCCTCCTGGATGGGTCGGCCCAACAAACCAAGATGACAAAGGTTCTCCTTTAATTTACTGACTTTTCTTTTTCTCTCTTTCTCTCTTTCTCTCTCTCTTTCCCTCACCCTCTCTCTCTTTCTATCTCTCTCCCTCTAACCCCATTTTTCTCTCAAGCTCATACCTCTCACTCCTAATCCCTTCACACCTTACCTCTTTTAGTTATTCTGCTCATGCTGAATCTGTGTTTGTGTGTCCAAGCAGAAAGGATTCACTCCTCTCCATGTTGCCTGTAAGTACGGCAAAGTGGACGTGGTCGAGCTGCTGCTGGAGAGAGGAGCCAACCCCAATGCGGCTGGAAAGGTATAGAAACACACAGCAACACAGCACGGACTGTCCTGTGCTTTTTAGCAGTGTTAAGCATACTTCTCAGTGCTGTGACCCACCTAAAGCTTATGGAACTTTCCTGTGACCCAACTAACAAATAAACCCCATATTCTATGTACTGACCGTCATTTATCACAGCCCAAAAGGAATCAGCGTGTTCCACCATTTTAGACATTATTTCTCATTTAAACATGCGCCCACAAAGGCAGACTGATATTCTGTTGTTTAGATAGCTAGTGACAGTAAGTGTGTGTATGTGTGTCCAAGCAGAACGGCCTGACTCCTCTACACGTGGCCGTCCATCACAACAACCTGGACGTGGTCAAGCTGCTGGTCAGCAAGGGAGGCAATGCACACAGCACTGCCCGGGTAAGAGGAACGATGTAACACACACACCACTCACACATAGCAGTACTAGTATATCCCCCCTTTCAGGTTCATTGGTAACTACTGTACAGTATGATGAATACGACCCACCAATTGATGATCCAGTGTATTACCCCAACCCTGCTGACTCCCTGTGTCTGTCTATAGAACGGCTACACTCCCCTGCACATTGCAGCCAAGCAGAACCAGATGGAGGCGGCTGGCTGCCTGCTGCAGTATGGAGCCTTGGCCAACGCTGAGTCCCTCCAGGGGGTCACGCCCCTCCACCTGGCCTCCCAGGAGGGCCAGCCAGACATGGTGGCCCTTCTCATCTCCAAACAGGCCAATGTCAACCTCGGGAACAAGGTACTGGACTGTACATATCTGAGCTCAGGAGGGTTTGAGGCAAGCTTTCAGGGATAGCTAGCGAAGTTGTACAGGGTTTGATGGACTCATGGTAAGATAAAGTGTTGAGGGCCACAGGGCATGATGTTTCGATCACTGGGTCAAAGCGGTTACTGTAATTACCTTCTAGTATGGCATGCATATTGTGGTAGAGATTTGATGGTGCACTGTGACTCAGACTGACTCAGAGCTGGTTAGTGAACAGACTGACCAGCAGCCTACTGTATTCCTCCTGTTCCCCCTGTGTCTCTCAGAATGGACTGACCCCTCTGCACCTGGTGGCCCAGGAAGGTCACGTGGGGATAGCAGACACCCTGGTCAAACAGGGGGCATCAGTCTACGCAGCCTCACGGGTAAGACATGCTGCATGAAATCAACCACAAACCTCGTAACACAGTGTACAATATATAGTGTAATGTACACTTTTTCTGATATTCAGTAGAGTGGGGTTCAGTATAAGCAGCATAATGCACCACATGCTATGATGGCATGCCATTTCCAATACTTTCATACATTATGCACACTCTCTCAAATTCCAATAATATTTTACTGGCAGGACTGTTCAAGGTATATCAGAGCAACCAAGCTGTTTATAATGAGGCAATAATGAGGCCACTGAAACACAGCCAACCCTCACTAAGGTCCCCCCCTCTCTCTCGCCATCTCTCTTTTAGATGGGCTACACAGCGCTTCATGTGGCCTGTCACTATGGCAACATCAAGATGGTGAAATTCCTCCTGCAGCAGCAGGCTCATGTGAACTGCAAGACCAGAGTGAGAAGCTGCTGCTACACTCCTCCTTACACGTGGCCTCTATTAGTGTGGCTTTGCCCTGTCTCACGTCACTACCACCTTCAGGCTGCTGTCACATCACTCCCATTACATTAGATTGGACATGGAATTTCTGTTGAATAATGGCATGTCAATGTCTGCAGTCTTGGTAAGAGGATTGCATTGAATTTAACACCCTTTCTCTCTCTCTCTCTCTCTCTCTCTCTCCTCTCTCTCTCTCTCTCTCTCTCTCTCTCTCTCTCTCTCTCTCTGCTCCCCCTCTCTCCACCCCCTCTATAGGTGGGCTACACTCCCCTGCACCAGGCTGCCCAGCAGGGTCATACTGACATAGTCACCCTGCTGCTCAAACACGGAGCCCTGCCCAACGAGATCACCACCGTAAGCACATCCTTCCTCCTCTTTCCTCATCCCTCATATACACCCTTCTCCTGTAGATCTGCTCTTCCCTTACTCTATTCTCTTTTCTTATCTTCTCTTCACTTCTTCATCTTTTTCCCTTATTTGCTTTCCTCTACTCATTTCTTCCATCATGCTCACATTTACAGCCTTCGTCTGGTGTCTGATCTGTGTATCTCCTATCTGTCTCTGTTCTCTGTGGTAGAATGGGACCTCTCCTCTGGGTATTGCCAAACGACTGGGTTACATCTCTGTCATTGATGTGCTGAAATTGGTCACCGATGAGGCCGTTTCCGTGGTAAGCAGCACTTCTAATTCACATGGTTACTAGTGTATTTGTGTGTGGTGTGAAACTCTGAGCTACAGTACAGAAACATGTTGACTGGAATTACATATCTGAGCATGTCAGTTGATATCATTAATTTCTCTCTCCTTTTCTTGACGTTTTTCACAGATCACCACAGAGAAACATCGGATGAGTTTCCCTGAGACAGTAGATGAGATATTGGATGTTTCAGAGGATGAGGGTAGGTTGGGGCACTCAAGACACGTCCCTTGTTTGCGTGTAAGATTTCTGTCAAAAATAGTACTTCTGCGTGTCTTGTGTTTTGGTTGTGATAGTCAGCCCAGGTTCAGTGTCATGGCAGAGGACTGAAGTCTATCTCTGAACCTAAATGACTAGCCTAAACAATGCCTTTTTCCATTTGATTTGTAGGTGTTGCAGCGCTAACATTAGGTAGGACTGTCCTTATCTCTGCTTTGTCCGGTCGTTCGGTGGCTCGTATGTGCCTCCATTGCAAGAACTTTCTCATTCTCTAATCCCTATCAATCTCTCTTCATAACCGTCTCTCTGTCAAAACTTTTTCCTGCTATCCTCTTCTCTACCTCCACCCCCTAGCTATCTTTCTCTTTTTCTCTCTATTTCCCTTTCCTATCTCTCTCTCTCTCTCTCTCTTCGTCTATGCTCAATGTAACGACAATGTCAGCGTTTCATTCGCATGTGATGTGGTCATGATATTTTCCTTTACCAGTGTTAACAACACCTGTCCATGGATTCATCATTGACATGACTACATCAGAATTTAGAAAGTAGAAATATAACAAGAGAAAAATAGAACGAACACCATTCTGTCACTGAGGGATCCAGTCCTGCAGTGCTTAATTGATCAACAGACTAATTACACAGATACAACTCCAGCTGAGAAGCACTCAAGGATCAGCATGAACATAGTGACTGTGTATACCCATATATAACTGCTCGTAGTTATAATAACCTTTTTCAGTAACAAAGGCATTCTCTCCCATACAGAAATCTCTAACGGGCATGCTCACTAAAGCTGTAACCGGGTGCCATGCTGTGTACCATGCAGTGTGTGTTCTATTCTGTGTTGTCAATCGTATTGTTTTTTCCATTGGTCTCCATTGGCTGTGGTTGTTGTCGGTTTGACTCTATTCCGATCTGAAATAGCTTGGTGATGTTACTATATATGGTAATACTAGGATGGTGGGCGGCAGTGGGGAGTGGTATTTTGGCACATGTAACAGTCTAGACAAACTCATTCCACGGAGGGCTGATTGTCTGCGGGTTTTCACTCCTCCCTTGGACTTGATTGATGAATTAAGGTCACTGATTGGTAAGGAACTCTCCTCACCTGGTTGCCTAGGTCTTAATTGAAAGGAAAAAACTAAAACCAGCAGACACTAGGCCCTCCATGGAATGAGTTTGACACCCCTGGTCTAGACCTATCAAGTAATTTCTCTCTCTTCTCTCTCTCTTTCTGCACCTTTGGTTTTTGTTTCTCTGACGTCTCTCTGTGCTCTGCAGGTGATGAGTTGCTGGGGATGGATGGCGCTCGCTACCTGAAGCTTGACGACCTCAAGGACCAGGATGATGATTTCCTGTCCCCTAAGAAGACCCTGAGAGACTTTGAGGGTGGCCTGGGCACCACGTAAGTGACAGCGCCAGGGTCGAAATGAACACTTTGTGCGTCAGAGTCCAGTCATCTGAGGATAATGTGAGGGAAATTATTTTCCACCACATTACTCTTTGGCCAACTCACCTTTTTCTCTTTCTTTTTGGGGTGTAGGCCCTACTCTCCTGCTATTCCCAGAATCCCGTGCGTGTCCCCTGAAACTGTCCTGCTTGAGGGGGTAATGTTAAAGGATTTATTAATTTATCTCATCAAATGCAATTGTTAATGCTGATGATTAGATTGTGCTCTCTCTTTCTCCCTCTCCCTCTGTCTCAACAGCACACCCCTGTCCCCTTGCCTAAGGAGTATGATGAGGACTCTCTGATCCCCAGCAGTCCTGCTACAGAGACCTCCGACAATGTCAGCCCAGTGGCCAGCCCCATACACACAGGGTCAGTTTACTCCCTCTATAACAGGGGTCTCCAACCCTGTTCCTGGAGAGCTACCCTCCTGTAGGTTTTCGCTCCAACCTCAGTTGTAACTAACCTGGTTCAGCTTCCTAACCAGCTAATTATTAGAATCAGTTGTGTTAGATTAGGGTTGGAGTGAAAACCTACAGGACGGTAGCTCTCCAGGAACAGGGTTGCACAAGACCTGCACACCCTATTATACACAATACCAACACATTACAAGCATAATGAATCGGTCAGTTTATTTCATATTTCTTCCATTCAGTGTGATTACATTCCTTTTACAAGGTCATTATGACCGTTTATGATTTAATTTGATCAGAATGAACTTGAATGAAATACGGTTGGATAGTTCTTCTCTCAATAATTAATGGTGGTTCTCATTGGTTGCTGGTCAGGTTCCTGGTCAGTTTCATGGTAGATGCCCGAGGGGGCTCCATGCGTGGCAGCAGACACCACGGGCTGCGTGTCATCATCCCCCCGCGGACCTGTGCTGCCCCCACCCGCATCACCTGTCGTCTGGTCAAACCCCAGAAACTCACCACCCCACCCCCGTTGGTAGAGGGAGAGGGCCTGGCCAGTCGTATCATCTCCCTGGGGCCCTCCAGTATGCAGTTCCTCGGGTGAGTGCGTACGTGTGTGTGTCTGCATCTCTGTATGTCTGCTTGTTTGTCAACCTGTATTTGATTGGGCAGTGAGGACCTTGTATTTCTCTTATTACCCAGTGGACAGTGATAGTAGTGATTGTAACAGTGTAGGAGCAATCGTACAGTAATCATAATAGATTCCAATAGTAATAGCATGTTTAGTATTCTGATGTAGAGCGCTAATATCTCTATAGGCCAGTGATAGTGGAGATTCCCCATTTCGCTTCTCTGGGTCGAGGGGACCGGGAGCTGGTTGTTCTGCGCAGTGAGAACGGCTCTGTATGGAAGGAGCATCGCAATCGCTATGGCGACGAGGTGCTGGAGACCATTTTGAATGGCATGGATGAAGGTCAGTGAAACAATGATAAATATCACCTCTCTACAGTAGAGCCATCTTTATGTACTGTTATGTCTAAGGACAGGTCCATTCATATGGGCCTCTTATGTAAGCAACAGTATATCATTTTACTGTAACAGCAATGTTATACACACAATAACATATGTGAAACCATTAACATAATCCAAGCCCCATTCTCTCTGCCGCCCCTCTCCTCCCTCAGACCTGGAGAGTCACGAGGACTTGGAGAAGAAGAGAATCCGCCGCATCATCTCCACTGACTTCCCCCTCTACTTCGCTGTGGTGTCCCGCGTCCAGCAGGAGAGCGACCTGATTGGCCCAGAGGGCGGTCAGCTGGCCAGCATGCTGGTCCCTCATGTCCAAGCCATCTTCCCTGAGACAGCGGTCACCAAGAAAGTTCGACTGGGGCTGCAGGTGAGGAAGAGGAGAAGGACGAGGAAGAGATACATGCCGAGAGATACCTTACCTTCCCTACTGGGTTATGTGAATAGAAAGGCATGCTGGCTCCCTAGGAGTGAATAGGCTATGTCATGCTTTCTGCACTGCTCTTCCAAAGACCTAGGGCTGTATTCAGTCAACTTTGATTGAGTGGGACATCTTATCAGGTAGCTGCTCTGTTCAGCTTACTCAATCAGTGCTGTCTGCCCTACCAAACAAGCAATGTTGGCACCACAGCAACAATGGCGCTGGAAAGGTAAATACCTGTCAATTTGTGGAAAGATCACCCTAAATAACTCTTTAGTATTATCCCAGTTTACCTATTTGCTTATGGTCTTGCCTACGTCTAGCGAACAGTTTTTTGAAATTATATGAGAGAAAAATATTCCATTTTATTTGGAACGGCAAGCCAGACAAAATTAAACTGGCCTATTTATATAATGAATATGAATTCGGAGGACAGAAATTATTAAATATTAAAGCATTAGACCTATAACTAAAAGCTTCAGTCATACAAAAGTTATACTTAAATCCGAACAGGTTCTTTACCAAATTAGTAAGATTGTCTCACCCAATGTTCAAGAATGGCCTTTTTCCCTTTATTCAGATTACAACCTCTCACTTTCAGTTATTTGAAAAGGAAATAATCTCCCAAATATCACTATAAAAAAAAAAAACAAGCCATAGAAAGTTGGTTGCAATTTCAATTCAATCCTCTGGAAACGACAGAACTAATAATGCAACAAATATTGTGGTTAAACTCAAATATAATAATTGATAAAAATAAATTGCAATAAAAAAAAGGTATAATCTTCGTAAATGATATCATAGGTAGGACTGGTGGAGTTATGTCGCACATGCAGCTAACAAAAACATATGGAAATATCTGCTCTACCCAAAATTACAACCAAATAATTTCAGCATTACCGCAAAAATGTAAGAGGAAAGTGGAAGGGGGAAAAAGTAAGGAACTTGTCTGTCGGCCCTGCATTAAAGAACATAATTGGTTAAAGAAAATTGTGATAAATAAAAATTATACCAGTTTAATTTAAGAACCAAAGGATTGACAGCCATCCCATATAAATTGCAAAATAGTTGGGAAGAGATTTTTGACGTATCGATTCCATGGCATAGTGTTTATGAACTGATGCGCAAAACGACGCCGGATTCAAAACGTATAATTTTTCAATTTAAATTGTTATAAAAATTCTTGCTACCAATAGAATGTTATTTATATGGGGGAAACAATCTTCCCAGCTCTGCAGATTATGCTGCGAAGAGACAGAATCATTAGTTTTGGTACTGTCCATTTGTAACTTGTTTTTGGACACAGCTCCAGGAATGGCTAAAGGATTGCAATATTTAACTGGAGCTAACCCTACTGGGTGATCTGAAAAGTCATAGTCAATCGATCAATAATATAATAATACTTTTAGCAAAAATGTTTATTTTCAATTTACAATCTGTAGAAACAATGAGAATAGAAGGGTTCAGAACTTTTGTAAAACATCACAGTACAGTTGAAAAATATATGGCAAATAGAAATGCAATATGGATGGTGTTAAGAGATAGATGGGCGGGGTTGAATGGAGCTGAACGTTGGGACTAATAACAACTAACAACAACTAATAACAACAAGATAACTAATGTAAAGCATACTGTGTCCATAATAAGTATGTAGGTTATAGGTTGAGAGCTTTTGTGAAAGAGCACAGTTAGAAAGATATGGCATATAGAAGCAAACCGGAAGGACATCATGAAAATGATCGGAGCGGTTGAGGGTAGAGGAAGTTCATGAGTAAAAACAAACAAAATATAATTATTTTAAAATTGACTGTGTCCATAAAATGTATATAGTATGTATAAGCTGGAAGTAGAGGCCTAAGCATTGTTGTTTACTAGTTTACTCCAATTAGGGAAGGGGTGGTGGGGTTGGAAAGTAATAAAGGGAAATATATTTTAAAAAAGGATATGTATATGTATATATATATATATATATATATACACAGTGGGGAGAACAAGTATTTGATACACTGCCGATTTTGCAGGTTTTCCTACTTACAAAGCATGTAGAGGTCTGTAATTTTTATCATAGGTACACTTCAACTGTGAGAGACGGAATCTAAAACAAAAATACAGAAAATCACATTGTATGATTTTTAAGTAATTAATTTGCATTTTATTGCATGACATACATATTTGATCACCTACCAACCAGTAAGAATTCCGGCTTTCACAGACCTGTTAGTTTTTCTTTAAGAAGCCCTCCTGTTCTCCACTCATTACCTGTATTAACTGCACCTGTTTGAACTCGTTACCTGTATAAAAGACACCTGTCCACACACTCAATCAAACAGACTCCAACCTCTCCACAATGGCCAAGACCAGAAGCTGTGTAAGGACATCAGGGATAAAATTGTAGACCTGCACAAGGCTGGGATGGGCTTTCAGGACAATAGGCAAGCAGCTTGGTGAGAAGGCAACAACTGTTGGCGCAATTATTAGAAAATTGAAGAAGGTCAAGATGACGGTCAATCACCCTCGGTCTGGGGCTCCATGCAAGATCTCACCTCGTGGGGCATCAATGATCATGAGGAAGGTGAGGGATCAGCCCAGGACTACATGGCAGGACCTGGTCAATGACCTGAAGAGAGCTGGGACCACAGTCTCAAAGAAAACCATTAGTAACACACTACGCCATCTTGGATTAAAATCCTGCAGCGCACGCAAGGTCCCCCTGCTCAAGCCAGCGCATGTCCAGGCCCATCTGAAGTTTGCCAATGACCATCTGGATGATCCAGAGGAGGAATGGGAGAAGGTCATGTGGTCTGATGAGACAAAAATATAGGTCTAAACTCCACTCGCCGTGTTTGGAGGAAGAAGAAGGATGAGTACAACCCCAAGAACACCATCCCAACCGTGAAGCATGGAGGTGGAAACATCATTCTTTGGGGATGCTTTTCTGCAAAGGGAACAGGACGACTGCACCGTATTGAGGGGAGGATGGATGGGGCCATGTATCGCGGGATCTTGGCCAACAACCTCCTTCCCTCAGTAAGAGCATTGAAGATGGGTCATGGCTGGGTCTTCCAGCATGACAACGACCCGAAACACACAGCCAGGGCAACTAAGGAGTGGCTCTGTAAGAAGCATTTCAAGGTCCTGGAGTGGCCTAGCCAGTCTCCAGACTTGAACCGAATAGAAAATCTTTGGAGGGAGCTGAAAGTCCGTATTGCCCAGCGACAGCCCCGAAACTGAAGGATCTGGAGAAGGTCTGTATGGAGGAGTGGGGCAAAATCCCTGCTGCAGTGTGTGCAAACCTGGTCAAGACCTACAGAAAACGTATGATCTCTGTAATTGCAAACAAAGGTTTCTGTACCAAATATTAAGTTCTGCTTTTCTGATGTATCAAATACTTATGTCATGCAATAAAATGCAAATTAATTACTTAAAAATCATACAATGTGATTTTCTGTATTTTTGTTTTAGATTCCGTCTCTCACAGTTGAAGTGTACCTATGATAAAAATTACAGACCTCTACATGCTTTGTAAGTAGGAAAACCTGCAAAATCGGCAGTGTATCAAATACTTGTTCTCCCCACTGTATATATATATATATATATGTGAGAGAAAAAAATCTTATGGGGGATTGGAAGTGATGCAGACAATTACATTGATGGAAGTTACAATCTATCTGCAATATTAAAGCTGATCTTCCCCTAAATTTTTTTTTTACAAAAAAACAATGGAGCTGGCTAATGCATAAAACTGACTACAGCATACACATAGAAACTGGCACTCAGGAGTGCTGGATTCCTTTTATTTTTCCATGACCAAAGATTGTGTTGTTTTACTTATTACTGCGTCCATTTGTCCCATATCTCTTAATTCAAATGTTTTGTGTGTGTCTGTTGTCCTTTGCTTTAGATGTTTTGTGTACTGTATTTGTGATATTGAATTTTTGCATGTATGAATGTGTTTGCTTTGGTTCATTTTCTTTTTAGTTTTTCCTTTATCCAGCCTTTCATCACACTTCAGTTCCCTGAGCTAAATGAACTGATATTCAAATGTGCATGACGCTTGGTTTTACATGTATGATTTTTATCCATCGGTTAGATGTATGTTCAGGTAGGCCTATGTATTACGTTGTAATAATATGTGTGAGTTTGTCTTAAAACTAGTTTGTTGACTATGCTCCGGAGGGCGAGTAATGTGAGACAGAAAGTTTGAAGTGTTTTCTGTTATATTTTTACCCTATGTTATTGTTCTTATTTTTGTCTCCCCTTTTAATACATCACTTGTCCTTTCTTCTCTCTGTCCCTTTCTCTTTTCTCTCACTCTTTCTCATCTCCCGTCTTTCCTCTCCCTCTTCAGGCTCAGCCTATCCCAGACGAGCTGCTGACTCAACAGCTTGGTAACCAAGCGACCTTCAGCCCAGTGGTCACCGTCGAGCCACGACGACGCAAGTTCCACCGGCCAATCGGATTACGCATCCCTCTGCCCCCCTCTTGGAGGGAGAGTCCACGTGACGCTGGGGAGGGGGACACCACCAGCCTGCGCCTCCTCTGCAGTGTCATTGGTATGGTCCAGCATGGAGTTTACTTTATGCCCTTAACATCTGGTTCATGGCCAATAGCATTGATTGTCAACAGAAGTGAGTTTTAGGACAGGGGTGATGGGGACAGAACTTGTGCTGACCAACAGAAAGCTCCACACAGTCATGGGTAAACTGGTAGTACAGGAGGGGGCTAATCACACACCCCTGGGGGGACCCCGTGTGGAGGTGTTGTTCCATACCCTCACCGGCCTAGACCGGAGCACAGGGGGGGGGGGGGGGGGGGGGGGGGGGGGGGGCTCAAGCAGAGAAATTATTACTAGTATTATTCTTTTTTTAATTATGCCCAGCTCACGAGGCCCCTTGATGATGTGAGGCCTGAGGCAACTGCCTCTTCTGCCTAATGGTAAATCAGCCACTGTGTGTAATTTAGCCTATTAAACACAACAATTATGTTTCAAGTGAGAATTAGGCAGGTCTGATACCGAAAAAGAAAGGAAATGATTGCCTACTTCACCCATATTTTATTTTAGCAAAAAAGTAGTGTGTAGTTCCAGTAGTAAGTTACATGGTAAAAAAAGTTATTAACTACTGAAAACACTACCTAGACTTGAATTTAGTTCAACTACCACTAAACTACTGCAAAATGTAGTTACATTACTAGTTGAACTACATGGAGTTCACTACTCCCCAACACTGATTCTCACATAGGTATTCTTCTTGCCCAAGTGGAATACCATGGTGTGTAGTGCAATGGCGATTCATCATCTGTGGATCTGTTGGGGCAGTATGCAAATTGTAGAGGGTCTAGGGTGTCGGGTAAGGTGGAGGTGATATGGTCCTTAACTAGCCTCTCAAAGCACTTCATGATGACCGAAGTGAGTGCTACGGGGCGATAGCATCACGAGCCCAGACAATCTTTTATGAAAGAGAGTTGGGGAAAGTAACAGGCCTCTGAGGGGAAAGAGAGAGATTGAGAAAGTGGAGGTGTATAAAAAGAGAGATGAAACAGTCCTTTGTCTCCCAGGTGGAACAGCACCTGCCCAGTGGGAGGACATCACTGGCACCACCAAGCTGATGTACACCAACAACTGCGCCAACTTCACAACCAACGTCTCTGCAAGGTGAGTCCTAATTCACACCCTCCTTTAGATGTTATACAAAATGTATGAAGAAGAACACCAGTATACACCTGTGCATAATAGCCATTTACAACATCATCCTGTGCCAAACCATATTGAGTTCAATCTGCTTACACTATGCTACAGCCTTTAATCCATTAACTGTACACTTCAACACATAAAACAGATGCACACACACAAAACAGCCACCATCTCTATTGACTATCCCTCACCCTTCTCTGTGCGTCATCTCTCCTCCTCTCCTCTCGTCCTCTCCCCAGGTTCTGGCTGGCAGACTGCCCGCGCACAGCCGAGGTGGTGACCTTCGCTAACCTGCTGTACCGGGAGTTGATGGCCGTGCCCTACATGGCCAAGTTTGTAATATTCGCCAAAATGAACGAGGCACGCGAGGGCCGCCTTCGCTGCTACTGCATGACCGACGACAAGATGGACAAAACCCTGGAGCTGCACGAGAACTTCAGCGAGGTGGCCCGGAGCAGGGATATAGAGGTCAGCAGGGGGGTCAGGGGTCAGGGGTGAGGGGTTTAGTGTGTATGTCAGTAGGTTCTACTGTCTTTAAATATGTTCACATAACTCAGACATTTGTGTGAATAATCCATGGAAGTCAATGGAGGATTTTTTTCTCCTGACTCTCCATCGCCTCCCTCAGGTGATGGAGGGCATGCCGCTGCACCTGGAGTGCTCTGGGAACCTGGTGCCTGTGAGGAAGGCCACTCAGCAAACACGCAGCTTCAGCTTCCAAGCCTTCAGAGATAACAGACTGCCCGTCTCTGTCAAGGTCTGTCTCCCACTCATTGTCTATCTCTATTTTTGCACAGGAATTGGGATTCAGTCGATTGAATTGAAATGTCTGTCTGTCAGTCAGTCTGTTTTGTTCCTTCCAGGACATGTCAAACTGTCTGTTGGTGAATTTTAAATGTTATTCAGGCAGGTTTTGCGTTTGAATTGACAGTCGGTCAGTCGACAGTCGGTTGGTCTTTCGATCCAGTCTACATGTCTATGTGTCTGACTGACTATCAGTGTTTCTGATATATGTCAGTGTGTCTGTCATTGTCTTTCAGACATGTCTGTGTGTCCATCTGTCTGTACATCTATCGCTTTACCTTTTATATATGTTAATTACAATTGTTGTGTATCTTCTCCCATCTCTATCACTCCATCTCCATCTGTTTCAAATCTTGCCATTTTTTAATATATTTTCAGTCTATCTCTCTATCCTTGTTTACCTGTGTGTGCATACCTGAGTTCCAACCAACACTTCTCTTTCACAGACCACCTGTCTATCTGTCTGTGCGTGTCTGTCTATACATCTTGTCTGTCTACCCATATGTCTGTCTGTTTGTCTACCCATATCTGTTTGTGTTTTCTGTCTGTCTGTGTGGCTTTGAGTGTGTGTGACGTGCGCTTCTGTCTTAGTCAGTCTCAGACGAGTGCCTTGTGAAGTATTCTCCATTGTGGTGTACCTGCCGACTCTCTACATAGCTGTAACTGTGTGCACCTCCTTTAACGCTTTCACCTTCTTGCCTGCCTGCCAATCTTGTGGCCTGCCTGTCTGTATGTCTGTCTCACTGTCTCTCTTTCTCTCTCTCACGGTCACTCTGTTACTGTCTGATCTGACAGATGCCCAGGTAAATGTGCAGGTAAATCTCTCTCTCTCTCTCGCCTGCCTATGGACTGCTTCCATCTCTTCCCTCTGTGTTTCTGCTGGACAGACCACCACACTGCAGGTTGTCTAATTCTCCCTTTGCTCTGTTCTTCTTCCCTCGCTCTCTTTTTCATTAAATTTCACCCTATCCTTTTGCCCATCCTTCTCTTTATCCTTCATATCTGTTCTGCTTACCTCTTCTTACCTCTGTCATTCTCTCGTCTCTCTTCTTCGAGTCCACCTCTTCTGGTCTTCCTGTTCCTCTTTTTCGGCTGTCTTTCTCTCTTTCTCTTGAATCTCCTCTCTCGCGCTCTCTTTCTCTCTCTCTGTGTCTATCAGGTCAGAGACAGCAATAAGGAAGCCTCTGGGTTCCTTTCTTTCCTGCGGAAGTCTACCAAGTATGAGGATGCACAGCACGTGCTTTGTAACCTCAACATCACCATGCCACCCTGTGTCAAGGTACACACTCATGAATGCAAACACACACAAACACACACTCCAACCCACTCTCTCACATTCATAAGTCCCACGTAGTGAAACCATATTTTTACATGTATTAAATTTAGAGTTCACATGTTAACACCACCTTTTCACATGTGAGGAGAATAACATGTTTCACCTCACATGTGAATTGCAGTTTTACATGTGAAATTTGCGGTTTCACATGTTAAAAACATTCATGTGACAATCAGATATGCAGTTTCACAAAATCTCACTTTCACATGTGGAATTGCATTTTCACATGTGGAAAACATTCACGTGAAAATCACATTTGCGTTTCACATGTAAGACATTTTACAATCCCCAGCTAAAAAAACAAAAATGTAGCTCAAACAGAACGGGGAACTAACAAACAGAAGGGGGAAGTAACAAAGAGTCACTGACCAACAAAAACAAAACGGGTGGGGTTTTAAGAGGGGTTCTGAAAGACACTCATGGGGTGTCCACTGAAAGTTAACTATCAACAACAACTGGAACCTAAAAGACACCCACCATGAGCGTCCACAAAATTTGCCCAAGAAGTGCAGTGGTGTGAAGTACTTCAAACTATTTTTACTTAAGTCGTTTTTGGGGGTATCTGTACTTTACTTTACTATTTATATTTTTGACAACTTTTACTTTTACTTCACTACATTCCTAAAGAAAATGTATTTACTCCATAGATTTTCTCTGACACCCAAAAGTACTCGTTACATTTTTAATGCTTAGCAGGACAGGAAAATGGTCCAATTCACACACTTATCAAGAGAACATCCCTGGTCATCTCTACTGCCTCTGATCTGGCGGACTTACTAAACACAAGTGATTTGTTTGTAAATTATGTTTGAGTGTTGGTGTGCCCCTGGCTATCCGTAAATTAAAAAAACACGAAAATGGTGCCGTCTGGTTTGCTTAATATAGGAATAAAGTAATTTGAAATTATGTGTACTTTTATTATTACAATTGATACTTAAGTATATTTTAGCAATTACATTTACCTTTGATAAAGTATATTTAAAACAAATTATTTTAGACTTTTACTGAAGTAGTATTTTACTGGGTGACTTTCAATTTTACTTGAGTCATTTTCTATTAAGGTATCTTTACTTTTACTCAAGTATGACAATTGTGTACTTTTTCCACCACTGAAGAAGAGGCAACCAAAATAAAAACCCACAACAAACTCAAAAACAGGAAGCAAACCAAAAAGGTGAGCAAAACAAAAACAGGGAAGATCAGACAAAGGATTGTTTGTCTAGAACTCAAAATAGGGCGAGCCAACTAAAGGTGTTAACCCTCCGCATCTATCAAGACCACTGGAGCACTGGGCCAGCTTCTCTTAAATAGCACCAGGGCCAACACAGGTGAAATACCTTCCCACTAACGAGATGGCAACCAGCACAGGTGAAACACATACTGACTAACGAGGTGACACTAACATTATGCACGCTCAAGTTCAGTTTTTTTGTCTTATTTCTTGTTTGTTTCACACAAAAAATATTTTGCATCTTCAAAGTGGTAGGCATGTTGTGTTACTCAAATGAATTAAACAGGAGGTTACGTTAGAAGATGTCCTCCTCGGTTGGGGGAGAATCACGGAGGAGGAGGCCGTCTGTTACCGGAGGGCGATGAATGAGGATGCCCAGGTAGGAGAGGAGAAACGGCGCCAACAGTGCCGACGACGGAGACCCGAGAGGCAACCCCAAGACATTTTTTTGGGGGGGGGCACACGGTGTGGACGACGAGGCAGCAGGAGGCAGCGACAGGGCGAATCTGCAGGTTAGGAGAGGAGGCCACCAGGTTACGGGGGCTATTGGTCCAGAGGGAGCAGGAGTTACTTGGTCAGAGGGAGGAGCTACAGGAGGCTATAAGGGAGAAGGAGAGTGTAGAGGCACGGCGAGAGGAGCTGGTTAGGCAGCAGAAGGAGCGGGGGTTTATAAGGGAACCCAGTCCCGCTCCTCGCACCAAGCAAGTGGTGTGTGTCGCCAGCCCGGTCCGGCCTGTTCCTGCCCCTCGCACCAAGCCAGTGGTGCGCGTCGCCAGCCCGGTCCGGCCTGTTCCTGCCCCTCGCACCAAGCCAGTGGTGCGCGTCGCCAGCCCGGTCCGGCCTGTTCCTGTCCCTCGCACCAAACCAGTGGTGCACGTCGCCAGCCCGGTCCGGCCTGTTCCTGACCCTCGCACCAAGCCAGTGGTGCGCGTCGCCAGCCCGGTCCGGCCTGTTCCTGTCCCTCGCACCAAACCAGTGGTGCGCGTCGCCAGCCCGGTCCGGCCTGTTCCTGCCCCTCGCACCAAGCCAGTGGTGCGCGTCGCCAGTCCGGTACGGCCCGTTCCTGCTCCCCGCACCAAACCAGTGGTGCGCGTCGTCAGCCCGGTCCGGCCCGTTCCTGCTCCCTGCACAAGGCCAGTGGTGTGTGTTCCCAGTACGGCACGGCCCGTGCCTGTCCCACCGGAGCCTGGTCCGGCACCGGTCAGCTGCTCCACTCCGGAGCCAGAGCAATCCGCTCCACCGGGGTCCAGTCCTACTCCGGTCAGCGGATCCACTCCGGAGCCAGAGCAATCCGCTTCACCAGGGTCCAGTCCAGCTCCGGTCAGCCGCTCCACTCCGGAGCCAGAGTAGTCCGCTCCACCGGTGCTTGATCCAGCTCCGGTCAGCGGCTCCACTCCGGAGCCAGAGCAGTTCGATCCACCGTCGTCGGGTCCAGCTCCAGTCAGCGGTTCCAGTCCAGACCCAGACGTCAGCCCCTCTCCAGGTTTGGGGTCTCCCACACCAGGGTCCAGACAGGGCTTGGTACGTCGTGGGAGGAAGGAGAGGGGAAGCAGCGCGCCGAGGTCCAGACCAGACCAGGGGCGCAACAGGGAGGTGGAGAGTAGGTGGTGGTCACGCCCGGAGCCGGATCCGCCTCCGAGGCGGAATGCCCACCCTGCCCCTACCCTGTTATGTTTATGTGGCGCGGTCGGAGTCCGCACCTTTGGGGGGGGGGGGGGGGGGGGTACTGTCACGCCCTGACTCTAGGACTCATATTTGTTGAGTCAGGGTGTTTATTTTCTGTGTCGTGTTGTGCTATGTTTATTGTCTATGGTTAGATCTAGTATTTATAGATCTATGTTGGCCTGTGTGGTTCCCAATCAGAGGCAGCTGTTGCTCGTTGTCTCTGATTGGGGACAATACTTAGGCAGCCTTTTGGCACCTGTTAGTTGTGGGATCTTGTTCCGTGTAAGGTATGTTATTTGTCTACCTTGTTGTTTTGTCGTGTGTTCAGTACGTAAATAAATATGAATGCATATCACGCTGCGCCTTGGTCCTTCTCGTCCGTAAACGATCGTGACAGTGTTTGAGCCAATCAGTTGTGTCGTGACAAGGTAGGGGGGGTATACAGAAGATAGCCCTACTTGGTTAAAGACTAAGTCCATATTATGGCAAGAACAGCTCAAATAAGCAAAGAGAAATGACAGTCCATCATTACTTTAAGACATGAAGGTTAGTCAATCCGGAAAATTTCAAGAACTTTGAAAGTTTCTTCAAGTGCAGTCTCAAAAATCATCAAGCGCTATGATGAAACTGGCTCTCATGAGGACTGCCACAGGAAAATAAGACCCAGAGTTACCTCTGATGCAGAGGATACGTTCATTAGAGTTACCAGCCTCAGAAATTGCAGCCCAAATAAATGCTTCACAGAGTTCAAGTAACAGACACATCAACATCAACTGTTCAGAGGAGACTGTGTGAATCAGGCCTTCATGGTCGAATTGTTGCAAAGAAACCACTACTACAGGACACCAATAAGAAGAGACTTGCTTGGGCCAAGAAACATGAGCAATGGACATTATACCGGTGGAAATGTGTCCTTTGGTCTGGAGTCCAAATTGGAGATTTTTGGTTCTAACCGCCATGTCTTTGTGAGACGTGGTGTGGGTGAACTGATTAATGCATGTGTAGTTCCCACCGTAAAGCATGGAGGAGAAGGTGTTATGGTGTGGGGGTGCTTTTTTGGGGGATTTATTTAGATTCAAGGCACACTTAACCAGCATGGCTACCACAGCATTCTGCAGAGATACGCCATCCCATCTGGTTTGGGCTTAGTTGGACTATCATTTGTTTTTCAACAGGACAATGACCTAACACACCTCCAGGCTGTGTAAGGGCTATTTTACCAAGAAGGAGAGTGGTGGAGTGCTGTATCAGATGACCTGTCCTCCACAATCCCCCGAACTCAACCCAATTGAGATGGTTTGGGGTGAGTTGGACGGCAGAGTGAAGGAAAAGCAGCCAACAAGTGCTCAGCATATGTGGGAACTCCTTCAAGACCATTGGAAAAGCATTCCGGGTGAAGCTGGTTGATTGAATGCCGATAGTGTGCAAAGCTGTCATCAAGGCAAAGGGTGGCTATTTGAAGAATCTAAAATATAAAATATATTTTGATTTGTTTAACACTTTTTTAGTTACTACATGATTCCATATGTGTTATTTCATAGTTTTGATGTCTTCACTATTATTCTACAATGTAAAAAATAGTAAAAATAAAGAAAAACCCTTGAATGAGTATGTGTGTCCAAACTTTTGACTGGTACTGTTTTATAATTTTGTTATAGTTTTTCTCTCTCTTTTTTTCCCCTCTATAGTTGCCTAAAACGCACACGTTTTGAGAAACAGGGGTAAAATAAAGTATGTTTCTAAAACTCTCATCCCCCTGGAATGAGCACAACCAAAACAATACTCATCTCCAACAGAGAAAAACGTACAGTCAAAGTAAATTGTGAGCCAGGGCAACACACTGGCTAAACCCAAAGCACAAAACGTATTGACTGCCCACCCTTGAGAGACAATCAGCAACCAACTTGTCCTTACCACGGACATGTCTAATTTCAAGAGAAAATTCCTGCAAAGTCTGTAGAAACTTTCCTCTCATTTTTTTCCTCAATTTAATTTGTTTGATTGGGGCCCCCAAAGTCCCCAAAGTCAATGTCATGCTCTAGTACAT